TGCTGCTGAAAGAAGCTTCTCTAAGCTCAAACTGATTAAAACTTACCTGAGATCTACTATGATGCAAGAACGTCTCAGTGGACTTGCCATTATAAGCATAAACCATGTGGTCTCAAATCAGTTGTCATATGATGATGTTGTAGATGACTTTGCTGCAAGAAAAACCAGGAGAGTAAAGCTGTAGCAGGTTATGTGAGATTGAGGAGGTGATGGTGTAGTTTTTAAGTTACGGCAGTACCAAAAACACCACTAGAGGTCTTTGTAAGATCATCTTTTTATTTTTATTTAAATCCTTGTATTTTTTTGTGCCTACTCGTTTCTTTAATATCTTATTTTGCACAGTGCCGTATTTATATTGTATTTTTAAGTTAATGTCACTTGTTTACACTTTTTATTTTGGGAGTATTAATAGGTACTTTATGTAAGCTATTTATATTGTATTTCATATGTTCAGTTCATTTTTTTGTATTTGTTTCTTTAATTCTTTCTAAGTATTTTGAATGTGCAATTGCTTTATTTAAATAAAAGAATGTCCAAGACAAAGCTATTACGTTTCTTATGAGTATATACACTAGCAGTGGAATTTACTGCGATGCAACGGGGCGCCACCTGAAATCTTGCCTAGGGCGCCAAATTGGTTAGGGCCAGGCCTGGACACCGGAGCCGTTTACCTGTTCTCACCTTTACCTGAGTTCTCAGGCCAGAGACTGTGCAGACGATGAGTGTGTTGAAGCCAAATGTTTGTTCTTAGAAACTCTGGAGAAACCACAGGCGTTAAAACAAAGTGCAGCCTTTATTTTTACATTCATGATATCAGTTCCAACTTGTTTCTTATGCACAGTTTTAATTTTCTTCATACAACATTACATTTATAAAATACAGAATATTTGCATTTGTCCTTTTAAAATTTCTTTTAAAATCTTGGTGAACAAAACCAAAAGTCTGCAGTGATTTTGATCCCTGAGAAGAACCCAAAGTATTTCACTACTGTTTTAAACAAGCACACAGCTGCACTTCTGCAGGTACCTTGTGAACCCACAGACTAAAATCTAACTCTGCTGACTGTCAGCGTGGTGTATTCAGTTCGGTCCTGTGACATCCGCAGTCTGTACTGAGTGAAGCTGAAGTGTGGTGTTTTCAGCTGAGCATCAGCCCCTCGCTGACAGGCATGTTGATGTGGGCAGTTAGCAGTGGGGAGCTTTGCCCTTCGTGCAGGATGAACACCTTGATGATGTCAGAGATGCCCTTGTCACTGGTGCACTCCACAAAGGTCTCAACAGGGTAGATTAGTCCGGGCACCAGCAGGGGGATCCTCATATATGGGTTCCTCATCCTGTACAGGCTCTCATCATAGAGAAAGCTGATGGCCAGGTTCATGATGGGCCGACATGCTGCTGTGTTCTGGATGTTCAGGGTCAGTTTGAAGGACGGACCCAGACCCTGGACCACTGCATTCATCTTGATCGGCTCGCTAAGGCTGGAGGACATTGGCGTCAGGCTGGACTCCAAGGCCTTGACGTAAGCTTTGGCGGTGGCCAGTCTCAGGCGGCTCAGGTCCATCTGGAAAGCGCGGTGCATAGTCAGGCCATTCTCCCGCTCCCTCAGTGTCTGGTCCACATACAGCTTCGTCTTCTTGGGAACATTAAGGCGGACACTCTGGGCTAGCGGCGGCCCAGGTGCGCTGTCTCTGTCGTCGAACACTGCTGTCCTCTTCAGGATCTTCATCATCAGGCCACCTCCCTTAGTGGTCATGATGAGGGTCCCATCCTCGCGGCCGTACCGACCAAAGCAGATACTGGTGACCACATTGGGTGTCTTGAAGGTGCTCAGCAGGTTCTTGTCCCGGTACAGCTGGACCTCACAGTTAGCCAGGCCTACCAGAACCCCCTGAAAGCCCCTTGTCGGGAGGTCCATGGCAGCCATAGTGATGACTGGAGCAGGAAGGATGATCCTCCACAGCTTCTTCCCCTGAAGATACAAGAGTTAAGGGACTGTGTCTGAAATCAGTGACTGCTGCACTATTTTCACAGTCCACCATTTTGTTTGTGTCTGACTGCTGAGTGTAATTTTATCCTGTATTATATTTGCTAGTTTCTGCTAATAATCAGCTGGGATTGGCTCCCGACCCCCCACAACCCTATTCAGGAATAAGAGGTATGGATAATGGATGGATATTGTGTGTGACAGTGATGACACGAAACAATTAGGAAGTGTCTGAAATCTAAATGTACTGCTCGCTCTGAACTACTGACTGTCTGTTATACCCAAAGTAGCAAAGAAGGAGAGGCACTTCAGGTTTCTACTTTTATAGTTCTCATTTAGAGCTGAAACAATTAGTCAGCCAGTACCTGATATAATATTAATTAACAACTAGTTTGATCATTTTTGAATAATTCATTAAATGAACAGGATTTTTCATTTCTGATAAAGTTCCTGAGACAAGTTCAAGTTCCTGGAACTATCTGGCTTCACTTGTCCCAGCTGAGCACCTGCCACAGTAACTTAAGCTCCATCCTACGGATCATTCCTCTGGAGTCGACAGTGTTCTGCTCAGACCTCCACAAACCTACAGTCCACCATCATGTAGTCCCAGAAACAGAGTTTACCTTCTGTGTAAAGCCCTGCAGGCTCTCGTCAGTGCAGCCGACCACCACGTTCTTCCCAACTCTGACCAGACCCACTGGGTGAGACGACAGCTCGATGCAGTACTTCGGTTTGTCTGACTCTCTGAAGAGCAGCAGCAACACAAACATCTGTCAGCTCTCAGTCCTCAAATCAATCCGGTATCTCCTGGTTCAGCCCTTTTCTATAATCAGGTCTGTGGAATCAGCAAGATCCTCAACTTGATATCTGACAGGAGGAGAACAGCTGAGTTCCCCTGCAACAACACAAAAGGTGTGTGTCTCACCTGCGCAGGACGTAGATGTTTCCGTTGCGACACGCCACTGTGATGCGAAACTCCACGTCAAACTGACCCGTCACATCCATCGTGATAGGAGCAGCCGGCAGCAACATCTTCAACAGACCCACAGAAAAAAAATCAGCACAAGGTGCGTTTACTTCAGTTGTCATAGAGATGGTTTAGTTTGTCATCACATGACCTGTGATGATACACATTTTATTTTCTGTTTCCCAGATAGAAGTTACCACATGAGCAAAACTGCAAAATTTAATGTAGGTAGAAAAATGTACTGTAAACTATTTGACAATTTCCAGTAGATTAGTTGGAAAGGGGCAGAGTTTTGACCCCTATGGTGCTCAGGCTGAATAAGTGGCAGCGTGGGACGAGGTTTACCTTGGAGAGGATGATGAAAGCTTCGGGGTCAAGGACATAGACATCACAGCTCTCTGTGCCAATCACCAGACAGCTGACACCGTCCTCATCGGCTGTGCTCTTCTTCAGGGTCCCGATGCAGGTTATGACCGTCTGAAGGAACAAGAGGATGAACTGATGTGTGTGTGTGTGTGTATACTGCAGGGTACTTATGCAATAAGGACTTGATTTAAGACAACATGGAAAAATACTGAAATTACTTGAACTGCAGCCAGACAAAATCAGTAAAAAGTCATGAGGTAAATATATAACACATCATGATATCATGACAGATTTAATCACGTAAAACTAGATTTTGATGTATTAAATGCGATGGTGTGGAGTCACCTGGCGTCTGATTGGCTGCTGATTATGCAGCTGGACAAACGCGTCCATGTCACTGGTCTCTAGAGAGAGGAACCTGGTCGAGCGGACGGACAGTGGGATATTGGCCTTCTTCCTTATACCCTCCAACATCTCCTTCAGGGTCAAAGGGTCGATCTGACCCTCCTTCACCTGCTGCCACACATCCTGACCAATCAGATCAGTACAGTGAGAAATATTTACAGCACAAGAGAGCGACAGCTGCAGTACTGACTGAGCATATGGCAGATATCAAAGGACCATCCTGCTCTTTCTAAATGTTGCAGAAGTCCTGTGTGAAGTGCTTGATGCTGCTTCACTCAAATTGTATGCTCTTAACTTTCTGAACTTGGAATTTGTGGATTTCTAAAGTATTATTTCTCATCAGAATCAGAATCTGCTTTACTGGCCAGGTGTGTCAGACACACGAGGAATTTGACTCTGGTACATCGGCTCTCAATGTACATGTATAGTATATCCCCATGCAAGGGGAAAGTAAACAGTATACCGACAAAAGGCTAGTATAACATAATAAGCAGTATTAACAGCAACAAACAGTGCAAACAATGCAAAATAAGCAGTATAAACAGGTAGTAAACAATGCAGACAGACAAAGGAATGCTCATTGTGAAATGACATAAATAGGAATAAACTGAGTACTTAAAAACTAGCAACCTGTATTTGTATAATCTGTACAATGTATATTTACAGGTATTGCACTGAGGAGAGGTACTGCGCTCATTTTGCTGTTAGTCACCTGAGATTCTATTCTTTCAATTTGTTGATTTAACTAAACCTCTCTAGGTTTTGGGGATCTAATAAAATCCTGGTCCTGAGACAAACCACCGTGAATCAGCCAGTGTGATGTGTGTGTGACAGAATTACACACACACAGACCTGCTCCAGTGTGTTGACCTCTAGACCGGGCAGGGTGAACTTGAAGTACGGTCTCAGGTTTTTGTAGACATAGATGCAGGGTCCAGATGCTACGGCCACGGCGGGGATGCGTGGCTCATGAAGGTCCATGAAAAAGGCAACAAGGCCGGCGGGCAGGTCCAGCAGGGTGCTCTCACTCATCAGCACAGTGCCCCGGTACACTTTAAGCTTCATACTGTACGAGCCACAGCCCAGGTCTCCCACCACCAGCCGGCTCTCCCCGTCCCCACTCAGGTCTGCAAGGTCCACACAGGATGAGAAGGTGTACAGTCCAGCCACCGGGTCATAGTGGGCATCCAGCCACTTCCCTCCATCACTGCCCGATTCAGACATGATGAGGAGGGGGGGCGAACGGGTAATTTTTCAGGAACTGCGGACAGCAACACCTGCTGATCAGGTGGGCCCTGGAGAAAGACAGAAGCTAGAACTTCAGAATGACATTAGCATCAGGACTGCAAACATTTTGTCTTATGGGTTATACTGACAACACCATCAACATTATGTTTTAAGATATTATCTATCTGATGTATATTGAATCAAAATTTACTCTATTGTATATCTGATTCTACATTCTTTGAAATGTGTATGGACTGCTCATTTTATCTTTTTTTAACATCTGCTCATGGTCTGTGTTTTTGCTTTCTGTAACTTATGTGTTTTATGATGTATGTGTTGCTGCCGTCTTGGCGAGGAAACTCCTGTAAAAGAGATTTTTAATTTCAGTGAGGCACACAAATTTGAATAAAATGTTAGTACTACATTTTATCATAGACTTCCCAACAAGATAAATGACTGGAGGTCTCCCTGATAACTTCAAGAGATAAAAAGTATTGTGCAAGAAGAGGACTTTTTTTCACAACCTGGCAACCCAAAGGCTGTTCTTGTTATTGCCTTATAACTGATCTATAAAGCATTAGTAAATTAGCAGAGAAAAGTTAGAGCTGCAGCAATTAATTTGCCAAATACAGTGATAACTAATCAGTCATTTGTGTATTTTTTTAAACATTTTATAGAGCAATTGGTTAATTAGTAACTGGTAGATTAATCGCTAGCTGTAGGCCTAATGAACAGCCAGTAAACATCTTATAAAGCTTTTCTAAATGCGGCCTTTTCTTTGTGTCAGTTTCATGCATTAGTGTAACGTTAACGTTACAGCAGTATTAATTACGAATGAGCCTGGATGTTAGCTGATCTGCTACTTGAGTGCAAGCATCAGTCATCATTGACAGGTGGCGTAGGTGATCAATACAGCTGGTCATTAATAGTTACCATTACCCCTTTCTCACCGTTGTCAAGGCAACCGCGTTGTTGTGTGTCGTTAATCCTGACGTCCTCTGTTTTTTATTGGCTTTATGGCGAAGCCGTGTGGCCTCTCTTCAAACAAGAAAATGTTAGAACCCGCTTCACGGATTCAGACTTGATCCAGACAAAGGATTAAAGTAGAAGCTAGCTGCTGTGACTAAAACGTAAACCCACTAATCCGCTTCAAATCCTCCTACCTCTCTCGGTTAGTACCGCTGTCGCACTCTGATGACGTCAATCACAGGGGCCCATGTTTACTGTTTTGTTTAGATTAGTTTTATTTTGTTTATGAGCTGGAATCATGGATGTAGCATTATAAATCAATGAACATTGGTGGAAGATTTACTCGTGTCCTTTATTTTAATAAAAGTGGAACTACCACTTTCTTAGTGGTACTCCATTACAATTAAAACACTGCATTCCAGATGTTAGACAAGCCTCATCTTGTGACTCATGTATTACATACACTCAAATCACCGAGATAATCTTTCGTTAATCTGCGAAACTGAGAGTTACTGACTGTTTTAACCCAATATCGTAGTTTCACTTACCCAAATTCTGAAGATATTTCCTGAATCCTCTCTTCTAACGATGCGGAATCAAAAGTAATCTGACACTATACATCGGTTGAGTTTTTTCTCTTTTTTTTATGTTTCAGGTGTTTATAGGAATGACTAACATCGCATCAAACTAATCCAGTAAAAAATCCTCTAGTGACATATTCTTGAAGGGCAGATAAATTAAAGTATGGATGCCACACCAAATAAGGCATTCACAAGTTGCGCACAACACCACTGCTGAAAGAATTAAACGTGTTTTTTTTTTTATTTAGGCTCTGATTCATCACTGATGTATAGCACAGTCAATGCATTCATTTCGTAAAACAAGACAAAGCAATATTCATCAATACTAGAACCTCTGCTTGTCCACTGACCACAAGTTTCTTTGATCTTTTTCTATAATAAATGTATACAATATATCATTCGGAGCCAGGGAGCGTGTTTTTTCTAAGGAGAAGTATCATCAGCATATACATCGGTTGAGTTGGCGCCGCAGATGGCTGCCTCGGTTCTGTACCGGAAACAAATTCCTTGTGTGTAACATACTTGGCCAATAAAGGTGATTATCCTTATCCTTAATTCATAATGAATAGAGATTTTCACCATGTCAGTTAAACCCACTAGATGGTGCTGTTGTCTGACTGCTGTGCTGTCTATGCGCATGATGTGCAGGTAAACTGATCAATATTAGGCCTATGAAAACTGTATTTAGCATTTGTGAGTCACATAAAAGCGTGTTATTTTTATCCTACAAATTTTCATGATGCATTTGTCCAAAACAAGTTTACTCCCCTCACCCTACAGCAAAAAAGTGTGCCACTTTATTGTAAATTCTCATTTTTACATCTAGTCTGCCCCTCCCCACCTCCAGTAAACTTTCAAAACGGCCAGTTGCCAAAATTCAGGCGTTCAGAAAAGAAAAGACAAAATAAACAGAGAAAATCACTGCATAGATGCAATGACTTCACGGCCAGGTACAGTATTTAAAAAGATATTGAACTGGAAGATGAAGCTTCAAGTACAAGGCCTTCAGCGCCTCCAGGCTGGGCTTTTGAGATCACATGACGAGCGTGAACATTAGAATATTATGTTCAGAGTGTTTCATTTCTGCGTTGTCTAAATCTTTGTAGAGAGCTGGTTTCTGTGTATGTTTGACTCTATGTTCAGTGTTTTAACTTGGGGATTCATTCATCATATGTTCTCTCTTAATACATCTATCGTGTATCCTCGCTCATGGCTCCTTCAGCAGCCTCCTCGCAAAAAGTTTTCAAATAATTGGTTATGTCATAATGACTTCTTTATTTTTATTAATTCATTTACGTACTTTCGAAAACTTGTATACTTCGCAATATCTTTTCAACGACACGGTAGCATATTGGTGGGAGGGTCGTGGTTTTGTAATTTCGCGAGAACATAACCGAGCATGCAAACGAGATCTGTAATTGTTGCCGTTGTGTGATTGGTCCTCTGGTCCGAGTTTAAAAAGTAGACCGCGGATAGCAAAGACGCTACAGGAGCTAACGTTTGCTACTACTTTTCGATGTTTCCCGGTTTAATTCAGAGACCGGTGAATAAAAGATATCCAGAGTGAGTTAAAGTTTGATAAAATATTCGTATAAGTTGTACAGCTGTTATTTACTGTGATGCTGTGTATTGTTAGGTATTTTTAGTCAGATAGATATTGGTTAGATACATGTTACTAGAGGTCGTGTGAGAATGTTTTTAGCTACACACCACTTAATCAACAGACACACACATTGATTTACTTCATGTTTTGACTACTGCTATGACCAGCTGCAAAGCTGGCAACAGAGACGTCTCGGTTGACGTTTCTGTGTAGTATGGGGCTAGCCCAACCGAAGGGATATAATGTATAGGCCTGGTGGGTTCAGGGTCTTTCATCTTACATCTGCCTGAGAGCAGTTTGGAGGTGCAAGATGCCTGAGCGTGTAATGTTAATTTTACCTGTGATCCTTTGAATAAATCAGCACTATTTACTTAGTTACTGGGACTGTCTCGTCTCTGAGTTAGCATGGTAACAAGAACTGGAGACCTACAGTATTTCAGACAACGTTTAAACAAAACGTACACGTGTAGCGGTATGTATCTAGCGTTATAGCTCTGTTGTGGCTAATGTAAACAGCGAGGTTAATAGCTGGTTAGCACAGTTTACTTATTATTCACTTATTATCTGATCCGAATTCTTATTTGTCTTACTACATACTGCCCCTGTGGCTGACCCTGGGTGAATGTTTGCACCTAACTAGCTTACATATGTTTATTTCTCATATCTGTAGTAATTGTGCTGGACTCCAAATTTAAAGCTCTCTAACCAGACGATTAGTTTAATTACCAAGTAGATGGTGAGTGAAGACATTTGTAATATCGCTAGTGTCCAGTATTAGATCGGCATATATGTAATTTCAGCTGACAAGCCCATTGAAGGATATCAACAGGCAAATTTGGATTGTTATTTTCATAATTCAAAAATTTTTGGAAAAGATCAATCAGAAACAGCAGGCCTTAATGGGCAGGTTGGTCAGAGTGATGTTGTAGTTCTTATTTACACTCACTGGGTTGATGAGGGTCGCGTTGTGAAGATTTCAAATTTGCAGTTGATATTTTTTATGTGGTGTGTTTGCTAGCAGAGATGATGGAGTCTTGTTTAGCCGGGAAGCCGGAGAGAGTCGGGCCGGTGGAGGTGGACGACTTAAAGAGAGATCTGCTTGGTGATTTCTCTGCTCTACAAGCACAGGTGAGTATACCTGTCAGTGCAGTGTTGGTGTCCGGATGGAGCTGTTCTGGAGGGTTAATGATCTGTTTCTCTCATCAGGATAGTGTTCAGTCACAGTCGGAGAACCTGCAGGTCTACCTGAGGGTTCGACCTTTGACTGCTGCTGAGAGTAACAGTGGAGAGTCACAGGTAACACGCACAGCCCAAAAGGCAATTTCAAATGTCTTGTTTATCTGAAAACGGCCCCAACCCAAAAGCTTTCAGTTTACAGCCATGTACCTCAAAGAAAAACATTAAATTCCCATGTTTATGAAGCTGGAACCAACAGATGTTTCAATTTGTTGCTTAAAACGTATTAAAACAAATTGATTAGCAAAATAGATGATTAATTTTTTATGCACTAATCAACAAATTGACTAATTGTCATAACACTATTCATACAAAACAATTTAAAGGGCAAGTTTTTAATATGGCCCCAAACAATTATTCTGATGAAATGGTATGTGTGGTTTACACAGGTCTTTTTCTGCTTCTCTTAAATATGAGTTGCATTCGGTCATTATTTAGTCCTTTGTCATAAGTTATTTTAAACTGAATGTATTTGGCTGTGAAAAAATTATAAATGGCATTTTCACTGTGTACTGATATTTTCTAGACAAACCATTTGAGCTGGAAAGTTGTTTTTATTTGTTATGTTTATCATCAGTGTTTTTGGTGTCCTGAATATCTTTTATAATTTAGGGAGTTTGTCTGTCACTAAGGCTTCCTGGTGTCAGTCCAAGTTTGCACTTTATCTGCTTTAATTTTTTGCTTTTCTTTCCTTAACACAGTGATTTGCTGCATTTGTTTTAATCTAATTTACATTATATTTTTATATATGTATTTAATTTATCTATCTGTGTGCATTGTGTCAAGTACTTTGATTTGCCTTTGTGCATGAAAATGTCCTAAATAAATTAACTTGCCTTACCTTTTTATAAAAATGTATCCATCTGTACAAAATGAATCTGGTGGGCTTTCCCTTCAGGATTGTGTTAGTATCGAGGGCCCGGACACAGTGGTCCTGAAGGCTCCCAGGAGCTATCAATCAAACAGACAGAGTGAGCGGTCCCTCCCCCAGATGGCACAGAGGTTCACCTTCACACAGGTGAGTCTGACACCACCATTTTGTCCAAACTGGTCCACTGTGGAGTTACCCTCAGAAGCTTCCACGTGTATACAGAGGCACCAAAGTGGAGAAGAAGCTGCTTCATGTTGTTCTCTGGTTGTCAGGTGTTTAGTCCAGAGGCCAGTCAGAGGAAGGTGTTCGAGGGTTCAGTCCGAAGTCTGGTCCGCGGCGTTCTGGACGGAGGAAACTGTTTGGTGTTCACCTATGGAGTCACCAACGCTGGAAAAACCTTCACATTCCTCGGTGAGAAATGCAATTCATATGTTCCAGAATTGCAATGATTATTTGATCAATCAATTAGTTGTTTGACAGAAAATATATCTGCAGCTGTTTTGATGAGCAGTTGTCCTTTTTTTTTTTTCTTGGTTTCTAAAGTCTTGTCTGATAAATGTAATATCTTTGGGTTTTGGACTAGTCTGGTCAAAACAAGACATTTAAAGGGCCACGTCATGGCCACCATTTTCCCAGACATGTGGCGCTTCAGCTGTTTTCTGATGCTTCAGCTTAACTTGATTTAATTGTTCAGTGAGTTTATAATGTATCAGCTGATTTTCTCTTTTTTTCAGTCTTAAAAAAACCTTTACTGTGATATGAAATAAGTAAAAACAGAGAATTATTGCCTTTAAGAAGCTGGACAAAAAGTGTTTGTTTTTGCCGAATAAATGACTGAAATAAATTGATTATCAAAATTACAGTCACACTTTTGAAGTGTTGCCTTTTTCATCCTGCCGGAGTTTGCAGTCCTGGACTAACCGTCTGTCTCTCCAGGTCCCGATCATGACTCCGGTCTGCTGCCCAGGTCTCTGTCAGTCATCTTCAACAGCATTGAGGGTCGTCTGTACAGTCGCATGGACCTGAAGCCTCAGCGCTGCAGAGACTTCAGCAGGCTGACTCCAGACCAGCAGGCAGCAGAGAGCAGCGGCAAGAAGAACCTGCTGCGGCTGCTCAAAGAGGTCAGATAGAAAACACAAATCAAACTACAGCATATTGCACAGTGGGAGGGTGTAGTGTGTACTAGTGTGTGTGTGTCTGTCTCTCTGCAGAGCGACAAAACTCTGACATCCGGAAGAGTAACCTTCCTTGAAGGTCAGTGACTGAGATTTTATCACAACAAGGCATAGTTTCTGCAGTGGGATGTTAGTCTGCCAAAACATGGAATCTTTTTTTTTTAAAGTTTTTTATTTGTGTGAAATCTGATCTAAACTGTTTAATGTATGTATGAAATTAAAATTGAGAGAAGCCAGATATTCTGCCTTAGGTTTATGAGGTACATCAGAAAGGGGAAAAACGAGGCTCTTGCACTGCACCTTCCATGCTGGTTGGCACTGAAGCTCAAGTAGAACCCCCGGGGGCGCTGAACAAAATGGTAGTTGTTTTTTTTGGCTACGTTGCTAATGTTGATAGCACTAGATCACTGTGCCTCACAGGCTCAAACTTTTTTTTTCTTTTTTTTTTTCTTTTTTTAACGGAATTGGTAGCAGCACTTTAGTGTTGATATTTTGCAGGCTAAATAGGATGTCTGTCTTTATCTGGTCTTAATACCAGGATCATATGTTTTTGTACTGTTTGGGAAATGGTGGTTACGCACTGTGACCTCAGGTTCTGTGAGTGTAGGCGCAGCCAGAGCGAAATAGAACACAAAAGGTTAACTAGTTTCACATCACTTAAAGCAGTGGTCAACAGTAATTGGCTGCGCGCACAAAGGTCAGCGCTAACGAGGTTACAACTGTGGTGCACAGCCGTTCAGTCTAGACAGTCCAACACATACACATCAATGGCGAGATGCACACAAAAGCATTTTATGCAATAATGTGATCACACCATGACAAATACAGATGGTGAAGATTATTCTTCTGTTTGTTTGTAGCCCTGAATAGATGGAGAATGTCATTTTGTATCACATGTTCAGATATTTGACTAAACTTTGTTTTTTGAGCTCCTTAAAATGTTGTTGTTTCCCTTAACGTTATGCTTACAATTGCAGTACATACACAAAAGCTGTCAGTGGGCTACACAACATGTTGATGCAACTTAGTGTCCCATACTTTGTATGAAGGTTTGAGTAGTGTCTTTGTGATGGGCTTTATAAGCAGTGTATTTTTCATGATGTCTTGATTGTTGAATTTTGTTGGCGTAGCCCGGGCTGGTCCTAAGTAGCCTCATATCACTCAGCTCGCTCCAGACATCATTCCAGTACTTTCTCAGTTTCAGACACATTTTTTACTCTCTGTCTCCAGCAGGGCAGTTGTATAGTTGTTCTTTTGTTCCTAGGAGCAACGAAGAGACTGCTCTGCTTCAGTTAATATGTTAGCATTAATATTAATCGTGGGTGTGTGTGCTCGGCTCTGTGCTTGTCCTGCAGTCATCTGGATGATCTGCTGTGAACCTCGGCTCTGTGCTTGTCCTGCAGTCATGGATGATCTGCTGTGAACCAGCTTCAGAGACTCTGCAGCTCTCAGATGTTTTATAGACTTGACAATCAGGACCAGTTTGATAAATAGGGTTTTTACTTTTCTCTTTCCATTCTGTCCAAAATTAGACTTTTAGTAGTTTGGTGAGTGCAGGAGCAGGACTGCTTTGTTAAAGAAATGAAGATTGAACCCACAGTACTGAATGTGTGTGTGTGTGTTGTGTTCAGGCTCGTCTCTCAGCACTGACAGCAGTGTCTCTGAAGCTGACAGTTTCTGCCTGGACGTTGATTCAAACGTCCGTTTCTCTGTCTGGGTGTCCTTCTGTGAAATATACAATGATAATATCCACGACCTGCTGGACCAGGTGACACACACATGCACACATTTTACATCTATGTTTATGAGGACATCCAGTGACTTAATCTGTGTTCAAAGTCCAGTGGGACAAAAATGTGTGTTCTAGCAGCACAATGTCTTTAGTTCCATTTTGTTACTGCACTGTTTTGGTACATAAACAAGACAGTCTTTACTTTTTAACTACATTTTAATGTTTTTTTTTTTACTATAAATATGACAACTAGTATTATCAGTAAATATGAAACTGTTAATAATGATATTAATTCCTTTATACTGCATTAAAGTTCAGTTGGAATTGTGTGGTGGGCTTGACAAACCACTGCTCCTCTACCTTCACCTAAACTGTCTTAATTATGGAATCAGTCCCCACGCTGTGAATGATTGTGAGTGATGTGTGACATTCAGGTTCCCAGTGGACACCACAAGAGGACGGTGCTGCGTTTGTCTCAGGATGTCAAAGGAAACTCCTTCATCAAAGGTAACACTCGGAGAGGCCGGAGACATTTCTCCTGACAAACTGATGCTGAGTGTTATTCACAGGACTGATGGATCACACTGGCTGTAGCCGAGCGCCAGTTTAGCTGCGTGTTCATGTGTGTTGATGTTTCAGACCTGCGCTGGGTCCAGGTGAACAGCTCTGAGGAGGCCTACAGAGTGATGAAGATTGGAAAGAGGAACCAGAGTTTCTCCTCCACCAGACTGAACCAGCTCTCCAGCAGGAGGTCAGCTGCTCACAAACACTGTTCACTCATCTAAACTGTAATTTTTACACACTATAGTTTTCCATCTTTACCTTTAGAGCTGGTTTTGAAACTTGGCTCAGAGGACAGGTTGTGGACGTAGCACGGCATTAAAACAGTGGAGGTAGCTGCGTTGGCTGAGATTGTTTCAGGTGAAGTCTGATCCTGTTTGAGTAAAGGTTTGTCTAATACCAAGCCTGCACAGAGGATTGCATCACTCACAGAGAGGGTTTCACAACAGAGATGGCTATTTTATCTTGTGTCACAACCATTATGAAGGAAAGAAGGGAAAAGTAACCTACCAGCAGCAAACGTTGACCCTGGTTCAGGTTTGTGAGTGTTGGCTCCCCGACACTGTGTGGATCAACCAGTGAGAGTGATGTCTTCCAACGGCATCATAGAGCATCCACATTGAAGTGGGCCGTCGCAGGGACATGTGAGATGTGATCTGGTTTAAATATGGTGATAATGTCTCCCTTTGTCAGACAGTCTCTCCTGAACACATATGGTTGATCTCAGTTGTTCACATGTAAGGGAATAAGAGAGAAGTTCAGCCCTGCCCAGCTTTCTGGGTTTCACACCACTGACCAGTCACTGAGTGAGGTGACTGTGATGTCAGTCTTTTAGGAAATAACAGACCCTTCTATTCTACAGCTGTTAGACTGTCTCCTGGCCTCAGTGTCAGCTGTGTGTGTTTATGTGGATGTGTCGTCTCTGCAGCCACAGCATCTTCTCCATCAGGATCCTCAGAGTGGATGATGTCGGTGTTCCCAGAGTCCTCAGCATCAGCGAGTAAGACTGAGCGCCACATTTTATTCACACTGTTTATAATCTGCATCTTCTGAGTTTATATTTAAATGACCATTTGCTGTGTGTTCAGGCTGGTTCTGTGTGACCTGGCCGGCTCTGAGCGATGTTCTCGGACTCACAACACTGGGGAGAGACTGAAGGAGGCAGGAAATATCAACAGTTCTCTGCTGACACTGGGGAAGTGCATCAACGCTATGAGACTCAACCAGAATGCAAAGTAAGCTTACATTGACTCTGTGGTCAAACACAAACCCCACAGCTGCTACAGCTTATCACAGCCTCAGTCACGAGTGTTGTTTAGCTCCTGCATCAAACTTAGGAGGGCTGGACATTTCACGTGGTTTTGTTTAGTAGGGTGGTTTGTCATCTGTATTTTTGCCTCACCAAGCTGCATGTCTGTTATAATACATTGCTCTGCAGGTTCCAGCACCACATTCCCTTCAGGGAATCCAAGCTGACCCACTTCCTGCAGTTCTTCTTCTGTGGTGCTGGTCGTGTCTCCATGGTGGTCAACATCAACCAGAACTCATCCTGCTTTGAAGAGACGCTCAATGTCCTCAAATTCTCTGCCCTCGCACAAAAGGTCAGCACACACATCCGGTTTTTGACCCTTTGTTGAACAGGGAAGTTTGAAAGGCTGATGTTTGTAGAAGTGACAGACACAGATCAGGTTTCTGTGAGTTTTCCTCACATTTAATCAATGCTGTTTTTTACTTGTTGGCACATAAAAAATTTCACCTGTTATGTAGTTTAAGATGGTGTATGTCAGTGAAGCGCAGGGAGACACGTAGACAACTTAATGTCTAAATTCCGACACTGTAACTGATAAAGAGAGGTTTATCTGTCCAGGTGGTGGTGGTGAACTCGAGGCCGGTGGTCCCGGACAGCTCCCTCCACAGGTCAGCCATGGAGCTGTCGATGATCATCGACGAGGCCGAACAACGCAGGAATGTGTTGAGGCGGGGCAGGAAGAGCTCGATGGTTGCCTGGGAGACGACCCTGGAGGATGTGTTGGAGGATGAAGACGGTGAAGAGGAGGAGGAGGTGGAGAGTATGATAGAGGGAACGGTGCTGAAGGCAGGAGATGAGGAAACGACCATGGAGGAAGAGGATACGGTATCAGTCTACTTTCTATAGGATTACATTTAAAGTGATATGAGGGGCTGCAACTATCGATAATTTTCATTATCTGCTTGTTAAGTGTGACATAACGTTCCACTTCCAGGTTCAAACTCCCCCAGACCCAAATTGCAGAGCCTGTCATTCGCTACACAATAACTTTGTTTTTGTGCAGCATCATTGAGAATAAGAAGGAAAAAAAAAGACTACATTCTTTCAATTCAGAGTAGTCAGTGTTGCCGTTCCTCCTGGTGGCTTAATAATGATAATCACTTTTATCGGTGAACTATGTTACACACGCACACAAGGAATTTTTGACTGGCACAGAATCAAGGCAGCAATCTGTGTCACCAACTCTCACACAAACACCAGTGGCAGTGCTGCCCCTGCAATACGCTGCTCTGGCCATTGGGAACAATTTTAGACATTTGTGTGAAGAATCAGTCATCAAAATAGTCTGGTTAATTTTCTTCCAGTTGATTAATGGACTGGTTGTTGTAGCTCAACTTCCAAGAGCAAAGATTCATCATTTCTTTCACAATGTTTCTGAAATCTGGTGCTGAAGAAGCGCTGAATACGTGTGTGTGTGTGTGTGTGTGTGCGTGCAGTCGGACAGAGAGGCAGCGCTGCGCCTGGTTCTGGAGGCTCAGATCAGAGAAGAAGTCAGCACTGAGTTCATGGAGCTTTTCAGCAAGATGGAGAAAGACTACAGGTAACAGTCCTGGTTTAACTAACTGCACATCCGGTTCATCTATTTATTTATTTATTTTGTCCATAAAATGCTGGAGCACGCCTCTAATAATTTTATTTTATTTTTTTTACTGTCTTCAGTTTGATGAACACTTTGAGGTAAAACTGAGTGGCCACATGATGTTTGTTAATTTTAGAGCTGAAAAGACAAACTGTGGCAAAATAGTCTTCTGCAGACACGTGTGCTTAGTGCTGTTAATGAGCTGATTAATCGATTAGTCAGCTGATAAATATTTAGCTGCTGCTCTATTAATTAGTGTAATTTCAAGACATTCAAAACATTTGGTCAGACAAAACGACGTTTGAAGATGCCACTGTGGCTCTCAGTCAGTCTAGAAAGTATTTGTTAGATACTGAAAGTAATCATAACATTTCACTCACCAAGGTAACATCTGAGATCTGTAAGAAGAGAAGACAAACAAGCAGCCAGGTGATCGGCTGGGTTGGAAACAGTTTATCCAGATTAACTAACTTCTTTATCAGGAGGTCAAACACTGTACTGTGATAAATGTCCTTCATTGCCCTGAATGGCAGTAGGTCGGTGTGTAAACTGACGGATGTTTGAGGAACAGTCATGTCTGTGTGTGTCAGTGATCGTCTGGAGAGAGAGAGGGAGATCCTGGAGGAGCGAGCTGACAAAAGACTAGAGATCCTGAAGAACCTCTTCAGCAAGACCGTCGACTTCTCGGCTGCCAAGACAAACACCGGCAAGGTATTTGAAAACATTTGTCTGTGTTACATTAAGACTCTGATTTCAGTCTGCTTGTTATTTTTCTTGAAGGCAAGATTTGATTTTGCTCTGACCAACCTGTAGTACCTGAGTCCAGGTTGACCAGCACTTCTGTTTGCTGGAGATGTGAGTGAACACTGAGGCTCCATGTTGTTGGTTTGGGGCTTTTCTTTCACCTGTCAGAGAAACTGCTGTCGAAGCTAAACTAGACAAACCTGTCCTGCACATAGGACATAGAATGTGTTGTGAGTTTTTGGGTGCTGTGAGAAGGGTGGAAATGAGGACTGATGCTCAGCAACAAGCCTGCTGGACATGTAGAGAAAGAAGAGAAGCACGTTATCATTTGGAGACGCAACTTTTGTAAACAGAACTGGGATCCAGAAGTCTTCAGCAGCATCAGTAAGTACCGCTATAGTTCACATACTGCAATAGATCTGTGTTGTCAGACATGAAAACACACATGAGAAGGTTATGTAGTGGTTGGAGAACTTCATACTTCAGTTGTCCTCAGGGAGAGATAGTGATTACTAACAGTATTGATGATGATCAATAGGAGCAGCAGGCGGGCCTGTTGGAGGAAATCATCAGTTCAGTGACTGAAGACCTGGAGAAGATCAGAGAGGATGCTAAGAGTGTTCACCGCTGTCTGACCGACGACGCGCTCACTGCAGGTACACACACACACGCTTGTTTTCATTACTTACCGGGGCCCTACTTAGATTCATTTCCGGGAGACTAACCCTAACCTTAACCAGAACCGCTACTTGCCTAACACCCAACTTTAACCAGAGCCGACACTGGCTCTAACCTTACACCCCACTGTTTTTGTTTCACTGAACTACGTCGTGGGGACCGGCCTCCAGTCCCCATGAAGAGATTAACTCACTGATTTAGGTCTGCACAAGTATAGAGAAAGAAGATCACACACACCCACTGCTACACAAGGTGACGGAGGAGAGGAAACTCCGGAATAACTGAGTGGAAATACAAACTGCTGAGTCACAGATTAATCAGCTGATCATTGTTTTGATGATTTGATTAATCTTCCTATTCACAAAATGTGAAACACTGAAAAATGCCCATTGTGACCTTCCCGAGTCAAAGGCGGTGACAGGTCGCTAACAAGTCCTCACTTCCAATGTCCAGAGCTCCATGACATACATACCAGTGCACACGCAGTTTTGTGCTTCAGTTGACATTACGCTGCTCTTTGACTTTTGTCCGTGTTGCTCTGCATTTGCAGAGCTGGAGGCGCTGCGACTGGAGAAGCAGCAGTCACATGACCAACTGCAGGAAACCAAGGAGGTACTGAAATTTAGTTTCTTCTCTGTGGTATCTCCTTTGTTGTTGTTGTTGTCGTCCTCCTCTTTATTGTGGTTTTGGTGCCTCTGATGTAATTGTTTATGCATTAGTGTTCCTTTGATTTAAATGCAGGTAGCACAGAGAGAAATGGTCCGCTTTGAGCCATTTCACACATTCAAGAAAATACTTTAGAAGTATTTACTGCAGAACTGGACTTGGTACACATTGCATGGTATAAATAAAGAGAGATTCTTTGTGCTTCTGTAACATCTGCTTCCTCAGAGTCTGGAGCTACAGCGACAGAAGTTGTCTGAGCTGACACAGATGTGTCAGCAGAAAGATGACGTCATCAGCAAGCTCCAGGCGACCATGGACAGCACCGTGGACAACGCCACCCAAGATGTAAACACACTCCTCTACAGATCAGAGCTGAAGCAATTGGTCCATTAATCAGTTAGCAACAAGTCTTATCAGTTAATTATTTTTTGAGTAAAGGGGGACAAATAATTGCCAGTTCCACCTCCTTTATTTTGAGGATTTGCTGTTTCTCTTCAGTATGTGTAACAGACAATCAAATATTTCAGGGATTGTGGAGCATTAACTGGACAAAACAAGACATTTACAGACATGTTGGCTTTAGGAAACTTTAACAGGTGTTGTGATCACTTTATCGTAACAGTCTGTCCCATGTCAGTGTTGAGTGAAGTGCCGGTCCTGCCTGTGTCTTTCAGAAAGCTCTGGTGGAGTCGATCAGGTCGGAGCTGCTGGCGCTTCAACAGACCTGCTGCTGTCAGAGGAGGTCAGGAGGAGAGGAGGAGAGCAGGAAACGCCAGCATGACCCTGTAGAGGACGAGGAGGAAAAAGGGAGACCAGCCAAGAGGAGAAGTGAGAGCAGGATGAGATGGGAAGGATTCAGTTTTATACTGTAAAAGCCTTTATTCCATTTTTTTTATTGTCCTTGTCCTCAGTGGTTCTGGAGGAGGAGATCTGGAGGCTCCAGGAAGAAAATGACAAGAAGGAGGAGATGATCCGTCAGCTGAGAGAGAGGGAGGAGAGCTGGAAAACACTGGAGGAGGAGCTGAAAGAGAGGGAGGAGAGCCGGGGAGCACTGGAGGAGGAGCTGAAGAGGAGGGGGGAGGAGGTGGAGAAGCTAAAGAAGGAGCAGGTTTTGCTGCAGCAGAAGGTGCAGGCACTGACAGGTAGGAGCCGTCACCTCAATGACTCTTACGGTCTGAGTCAAGTCTAGAGTGAATTAGGAACAGGTTATAGAAGATAGAAGTCTATTTATGAGCTCACTATGAACACACGACAGTGGATAATGTGGAGAGCACATTATTGTATCGGGCAGTGGTGTCAACATATTTTTTTGGGCCACATAGTGTACATATCAGGATGTAAAATACAGTGTCGTAACAAGGAAATTAAGCTGTAGTAGTTGCCCATCACCCCCCATTTCTCCCCTCCCCCTGTAGACCTGGACCAGTGTCCAAACTGCGAGCCTGTGTTTTTGTCTCTGGAGTCGGAGCAGAGGGAAACATCCAGACTGATGAAGGAGAACAAATCTCTGGTTAACGGCATCTTCCAGCTGCAGACAGAGGTACTGCTCTGTATACACTCACTGTCCACCTGCACAGTCTGTAATGGCCCTGCCATAACATGGTTAGAATGTTAAGTTTATGTCAAACTGTTAGTTGGGGTGCTGCATTGTAATGAGAGCTGTTTCTGTTCACACACAGGAGGTGGTCAGAATATTAGAAACACCTCTGAACATAATGGGATCCAGTACAGCAGCGTCACTGTAGCATCAATGTATGAGCTCAACACTGAAAAGTTAAGGAACAACAAAAGACAAACATTTTAGATTTTCATTTAACTGTTGCACTGGGCTGAGGCAACTTCAGTTTGTAAACGAGTGAGCAAATAACATGAGCTGTTGGTTTGACTAAAATGTTGTTTGGGGATATTTTAGTCTGGAAATGTCAAAAAACAAGACGGCTCATTGTAAAGTGTGTAAAGCCAGCGTGCCGATTGGTGGAAGTGTTGTATGATACAACCTATTTAATTAGGCACCTGCAAACGTGATAACCTTCCAGCAGACAACCCAAAGGCTAACAGGGTTACACAGCAACTGCAAACGTGATAACCTTCCAGCAGACGACCCAAAGGCTAACGGGGTTACAGAGCAGCTGCTCATCATTCTCAGTGACCAGCCAGTGTCTGTAGTGGGAAATGATTTCACAGCCTCTTGGAGCACTAAAGCCCAGGTATAATCTGTCATCCAGAAAATACATTTCAGAGACTGCTGTACCCAAACTATACCACCGAGTGTCATCACTGTTAGCAGCACAGTTAGAAGATGTCCAAGCCTTGAGCTTCACAACTTGGACTGTTTGGAGCTCAGATGTGAACAGCATCAAAGGTGACCCCCTCTGTTCAGCTGCCACTTTACTTGGACCCTCAATACAAAGATGGGGAGACAGATTTGTTGTTAGTACTAAATCATTTAGGCCCCAATGTTGGCTACATTCTAAATGGTAAATGTGAAATCTTGCAAAGCTACGTGTTTATTTCTCACCCAAGAGTGGAGATTTGCAAGTGTGCAATAATTTGGACAAGTGTGTTTTTGGCGTCTGACTATCTAGTGGTTGCACTTGTCCATCATTACTCTTATTTAATATTTTGTTTATTAGTGTTGATTGTTTCACTGTATTGAAAGAGCTCTTGTATTAGAATTGGATTAAACTGAAAAAATGCGGATCGGCCCATTGCTAATCAAAATGAAAGTATTTCTGTGTTTGTTGCTTTGTGTTACTGCCACCTTATGTGTACTGAATAGCAGATACTGTTGTTGGTGTTTTGCCAGTGTTATGTGTGTTATGGATTAGTTCTGCACATTCTCAGATGATTGCGTTGCTCCTGTTGGTTTCTGTCCACTGCACATGGAAAAAATCAGAATGCACAACGGGGTGTGTGTGTATGTGTGTGTGTGTGAATGGAAACAGTCACTGAATTAAATAAAGACAAGTGAAAATGTCAAATGATGTACAGTGCATTAAGGAACGTACAGGTACTTGTTTTCAAAATTACATTCACTGTGTCCAGTTTATTAGGAACACAAATCCAGCCATCCTGCAGTAAAACCTCATTTAGGTGTTGATGTTCAGACTGATTCACAGAGGTGTTGGTTCACTTGTATGATTACTGTAATGCTGCTGGACCGTGCTGTTGTTGCTAATATGTCCTCACAGTTATGGTGAGCATTTATTACAGGGGTGTTGGATTAGACCCGTGGTTCTCAAGGTGTGGGGTGCGCCCCACTAGTGGGGAATACAGCCATGACAGGTGGGGCGCAATGAACGGAGAAAATTGGAAATGGGTCATTAATACAAGTAAATTAAAATAACATCAGTTTGGGGCCCGGGAGAAAAA